CCACCTAGCGATAGAACAGTTGTCGGTGTGTGAACATACTGATGCAATGTAATACAATGTTTTCCAAGCCAATAGAAATATTCTATAAAATCATGATGAGAAGAGTCTGTTGGTCAAAAACAGAACACCCAGTTCCTAAAGTGAGGTCAAGGCTAGCTCTAATAGTGGGCATGTATGAACACCTACAAGTGGGGTAAGTAAAGACTCGGGAATTGAGTTTCTTTTTCTCAGGTTGATCAGTTCTTCTCGAGTGTGGGATGGAAACACGAAACAATATGATAACGTTTTTTTCTTTGAGCACCTTGCACTAAATTAACAAATTACTATTGTAGGATAGCAACACTGCCTTAATTACAACAATTTTCCTCTTGGTGATGGATTATTGTTAGTAATTCATCACTGTAACATATTAATAGTGTGTATTAGTTTTGAAACAGAACAATCATATTAGTAACATACTTGTCATATTAGTGAAAATTAACAAAATGATGAAAAATTGGTACTAAGTGTTTGCAATGCTGGAGCCACAAGGAAATCACTTCTTCCCCATCCAGCTAATTTTCAGCCACCGCATATTCCTGGCAGAACAAGAGAATGTTACACAATGGTCTGCCTGTAAGCAAGGTACCTTTTGGAAACATTTGTCATTTCCTTGATGATAAATGTATATTCTTTTATACTTTTAATACTGTATCTTGTGCCTGTTAAATGCTTGAGTGGTATCATTCACCACCCTTGGTGCTAAACTATTTAAGGCCTACTTCTCTTTTTGTCAGAGATTGAATCTGTACAGTGCATCATACTCTATAGGACAATACAAGTGCCCATCTAAAGGATTAAGCTGCATCTCCTGCAGAGGCACTCATCTGTGAACTGGACTTCGTCTCAATCATGTCACTTGCATGATGAGTTTGTTTGTGTTGTTTTGTTTCGGTGGCAGAAAGTTTCAGGCCATTGAGAGTAGGTTGCTACCCATCTCTTCATCCTGAGTTACCTTTCTGCCCTTTGGTATTCCTTGAATCTTTCTCTGGCTCTTTGCCAACAAAGTACCTTTACTTTTGCTAGCATGAAGAAAGGAGGATATGGGGATCCTTCCAGCCCACTATCAATCACATTCTGAATTGGGCTGTGAGGAATTCTAAGGATTAACAATGTCCACTGACTCCTGAAGGGACTGCTGAAGTAGAGTCTCTCTCAATATGCTGAGGTTGTATTATAAAATTGGGAGATAAATTTCCAACCCTCTCTGCTATTTGAAAAATACAATGACATAAGGCATTTGTGTGCTGGTTGCTTTATTCTCTATGAATCAGTTTCCCTGACTTCCAAACCTCTGCTCAAATGAAATAAAATTAATAGCTTGAGCTTGATTAATTATGAAATTACATGTGTTTGGTTCACTACTTTATTGAAAACAATAAGGAGGTATTGCAAAGTAACAGACCACAGGAATGACAGACAGTCAGGAGTCAAGTTGGCTCAGATTTTATCAAATAATCAGTTGAACCAAATCAGCCAAACCTAAATGAGATAGGATGTCTATTGAATATCCAAAATTTTCAGAAAGCTTTTCATTTAGCTTACAGGCCCATCTGTTTGCAAGGTTACTGCCTCTGAACATGCAATCCAAGAATTCAAGTATTTTAATGGGCTGAGAAGCCTAAATTGGGAGGTAGGATCTTCTGAATTCTGTCTAATGCCAAATATGCTACTGACTCGCTGGGTAAGTCACCTATCCTCTCTGGACCAAAGTCATTGCTGGCATAAGCAGGTGTTATTCCACTAGAGTCAATGGAGCTGAACCAGACTGTGGCAGTTAGGAATTTAGTCCATACGCAAAATATAGTTAATAATAATGACCTACCTCACATAGGTATTGTGAAGTTTAATTAATGTTTGTAAAGTGCTTTAATGGTATAAAGCCACATGCAGGTCTTAAGATATTAGTTATCCTGCATCGACAGGCAAAAAAAAGTGTGTGTACAAAGGCAAAGTCCATGCTGTGGCTGGGTGAAAATATGTCCCTCACTGTTAAAGAGAAAATTCAATTAAGAGATTTCTGTGCCTGTTTCTTATAAAAGGACCTGATAGAATCCATGCAAAATTTTATCATTGATTTGAATCCAAAGCATACTAGTGACATCAGATCTATGCATAACATGTATTTGACTGACATGGACATCTATTACAGATTGATGTGACATGTGCAAAATAGAATAAAAGCTTTGATTGACAACACAGCAGTGAAAGAATGGTGTCATCCACACTTGATCTAGTATGGAATACACCTTCCTATTTAGCTGAAACAACTGAGCTAATGACATAAGGGGATACATTTCAAGAGGCATATGCCACAGAATTGGCACAATGGCCATTCGTATCTATAGTAATGGGCAAGAAGCTTTTACTGCCACTGAGCATTTGCAAGGAAAGGTCAAGGGCCCTAGTGAATTACTGACATAAAAATTTGCACCTAAGAGAAATGGTGTTGGGATCAGAAACTGGTCCGTTCTGTCCCAGGCAGCAGTATGGTGGGCAGCAGCGGGGGAAAGTTCGCTGGCACTGGTGGTGCCACTATTTTTGTGAACCCCCAAGTCAGCACCTGGGCTGGTTTCCTGCTTGCCTCCCTTACTGATACTATTGGTTGGGACTGTTGACAGGGAACAGCACATGGTATCCAACTCCCAGAGGACACATACAAAATATAAGTGGGAACTGCAACACTGAGTTTTCTTCAGAAACTGTATCTTGTCATGCCTGCCCTGTGTCATCAACTTCAGCTTCCTTACATTGATTCATTAACCATAGGATACTCTGAGACAAACTAGACCTTACTTGCCAGCTGCTTAGCGCAATGGTAGCAGTGTAGACGCCCCTCATAGGCCATGTCCAGATGAGCACGGCAGTGCGGTATGTGGCCCCAGAGACCCATCTGCAGCACCACATATTCAGCTGTTCCCTGTGCTGCTACTTTGTCTCGGAGGAGGGGGTGGGGGGGAGGAAATGGAGATCTCTGGATCAAAAAAGCCTGTACAGAAAAAAAAGTGGGGTGGCACACATGGGAGCAGCACACATTCCTCAAAGCCAGAGCCTGCCTGGCTGGAGCCACACTCCAGCTGCTGGCCTGGCTCCAAGTAACAGGATCACTACAGCTCCAAGGTCCCCAGGGCCCCAGGTAAGGGTGCTGGCCTCAGCTTCCCCTGAAGGGTAACCTGCTGCATGCCAGAGGGTGCATGGCACAGACGTTCCCCAAGGATAAGTAGCAGCAGCACAAGGTATGCCACTGCTTCTCGTCCTTGGGGAAACAAATGTCCATGCTCGTGTAGATGCAGCCATAATGGCTTTCAGATGATGAGGGGGAGAACAATAAAAATAGAGAAACTACTGCCATGAACCTAATCATTCAGGACAATGCACCAGTGAAGCAGAATTCTTCCTGCAGATGTCAGCTTCAGTGCAGCCCCTCTACCCACTCCAGGCCACAGGAGGGGACCCATAGCATGATTTTTACCTGGTGAGAGAAACTGATATATTGACAAAATGCACAGTGCTATTCATGGTGTTCTGCTGTAATCTGCTGCAACATTAAACCAAAGTTTATTTGTGAATATGTATTAACACAACCAGATTATTTCCCTCATTGGCGATGCACATGTATTTAAAAATAATGCAATACTTTCATTTTTCCCCCCATACTGTAAGTATTGATAAATTTCTTCAAGTACATGGGAAATGAAACATGATTCTTTTGAAGTCTCATTCTGCTCCACTTAAAGAAAAATCCAGTGGGAATTGTGCCATTTACTTTAACCAAAGTAAAATGGGCTTCATTGAATGTGTTGCTTTTTTGTACTGTTTTAGTCCATGTCGTTGTTCTGGACACCTATTTTAGCAATGGTATGACCACAGTTTTGAAAAAGTCTAAGCTGGTTTGGGCATTCTCCTCTGGCCAGGTTAGCAACACCGTATAAGTCAGGGGACCAGACTTGGAGACCTAAGAAAAGCAAAATTCCTTTTGACTGTAATTGGAGGCTAGTTTGAGAAAAGACTGAGATACAGCTCCTGAGAGGATCAAAAAGGGTGGCTTTTGTGTCTGTGTACGCATAAGTTTAGATGCTTAGCAATTTCTCTCTTTATACTAAAGTTTAGGATCCACATTATTTTTTTCTGAATGCAGTATGTCTTTCAGGGTTTAAACTAACTGATATCATTTTACTTCGAAGGGAGAAGGAAATGCAGAAACCAACACTGAATGATTTTTTCCAAGGAAAGAAAAGATTTTTTTTTTAACATGGTGCCTGCCCCTCTTCTTCATATGAATAGATGACATATGGTAAAAGCAGGTTGTGAAACTTTTAATTGTCCTGTTCAGTATTAGTCAGGGGTAGAAGAGAGGAAAAGCTGGCTAAGGGAGATATACAATAGATGAATGTTCTAACAAAAGATGTCTTGCCTTGTGCTTAAAAAGCTTTTATTTCAGAAGGCCTTTGGCACTGCAAATGTTCTGTGGATAAATAGAGAATGCATCTTCTACTGTGTCAATCCTTTATCTTCCATGAGCACTATATTCATTCTTAAATAAGGCCTTGGCATACCATGTTGCTTTTATTTATGGTTTTATTACCAATTTTAATTGCTGTAACCTTGTACATTTGTTGTCTTTTAAACTGCATTTTGTTGCACACCACCTGAGATACTTTGTGGCAATAGGCTGTGCGGAAGCATGTTTCCTTAATGAATGATTAAGGAAACATTTATTATTTCCATAAAATCTGATGCTGTGTCAGAGCCTTGGGCTTGATCCTGGTTGCATTTACACCCATGGAAAAAAGGATGAATTATTCTAGGTCAAAAGAGTTATATGGTGTAAATGAGAGGAGAATCGGTCATTTTATGTCCAGAAGGCATTGTAAGCAGGAAATCCTTGTAACTGGGTATCTTTATCTGTGGTCCAACCTGGGTTTTTTTGGGTTTGTTTTTTTTTTTTCTTTTATGGCCAGCAGTAAGAAAGGAGGGATGGACAAAAGAAGCTTGCCTTGCTTGGAGATACAGTCAGAAACCAACCTTCAATGCACTTTCAGATAGAGTGAGATTCCAAACCCACACCCTAAGGAACAGAAAGGACACACATCAAGGTAAGGCTATTATATTTGGGTCTCTCTGGTAAACTAACAAACAAATAAAACAATTGTACCATACTCCTTTTTGAAAAGGTATAGCTTAACATCCGATCATCTATTTCAGCTAGTTTTCTACAAATAAGATTGGGGCACTTTCTTTGGAATACTTCTGTTGTATTAAATTTGGAGGGGGAGAGGAAGAAAAAGTCTCTCATTTTTAAGGATTCCTGGAACTTGATAAACTTAACATCTATATAGGAGTCTTGTAGAATCTATCAGCATTGAAGAAGCAAAGAATAATAATGGTGTTACTATTTGATTCAGTCAAAGTGAGCTCTGAAATTCTCTTCAATGCCTTAAATAACCACAGAGATGTGGAGAGTAATCTTTGCATAGAGACCTGCTGATAGGAAAATTTAGCTGGATCTAACAAATTAGCAAATAATGTTATTCTGAGATTTCAGTTAAAGCAACTTAATTGACTGATTTCTCAGGCTAGAAAAATCTAACGGTATTTATTGAATGAGTTGAAAGTGATTTGCACTTTAGCTTGATTCTCAAACTAACCTTACCAGAAAAGATAATCAAACAATACATGCTTGGAGCATTCCTTAGATATGTATTCAGTAGCTAATCCTGCACTACTGAAGTCAATAGTGGATGCTCACACTCGGTGACTGCTACAAGAATGATAAAATGGTTCTTTCTTTTAATTTTAGCCTTCAGAAGTTTAAGGCTTCATAATAATGAACAGGTGCATACAGACTCTTAGGCTCCCTGTTGGGAAGCACTCTACCTATGGTGCTTTACACAAAAGAACCATAATTAGGGTGCCACTGAACCCAGCAGGCATTGGTTCGCCTGTTGGGTGGTGGGGGAAGCTCAGAGCCTGCCTGCATTGGTCTTGGCCAGCAGACGGGCACTCCAGCAGCCTCCCAGGAGGCTGCCAGACCACCCTCTTCCCCATCCCTGCCCCCTGCCAGCCATGGGTGGGGGGGAGGATGAGGATGAAGCTGTACCCCTGCTGGGATCTCAGGGGGAACTAAGTTGGGCTTGTGCAGCAGGGGACTCCCTTCCCCCACCCCCTACACAAGCCACTTGACAGCAGCAGCCTTATGGTTGCTGCACCTGGAGCTGGAGTAGTGGGGGAAATGCCCCCTCCACCTGCCTCGCAGGCCTGGCCCAGCTCCCTCCAGTACCACCCCCACCCCCCACTGTGTGGGCCCAGCCCAATTCCCCCCAGTACCCTAGCAGGGGTTGAGGGGGGACTCCCTTTCCTGTTCCCTACTCCCCCACTCAGTAGTGGGGAGGGAGGAAACAGAGCTTTTTCCAGGAGCCTTTTTTGTCTCCTCTGTGTGACAGCCCACAGGCGGGACTGGGCCAGTGCTCACCTGTGAGTGCTGGCTCAGCCCACAAAGGCCCCTGTGATGCAGGCAGAATCACTCAAGATTAATCCTCAATGTGAACCTGTACATAAGTTCACCAAGGTGTGCTGCTCTAGAGTGCCTTCATCTGATATTACATCAGATGAGGGTTAACGTTTCATGCAATCTGCCATTTTCAAAGTGGTCTGCAGACCCGAACATTTGTTACGTTATGATGAGTGCTTTTGGCAGCCTCATCATACAAAAGTATAACTTCTGTTCACACCCAATATAGAATGCTAGTGTTAAGGCCCAGTTGTAATAAATGCTGACATCGGTAGCTGTTGTTCCAAAAAGATACTTTAACAGGAAGAACCTTTGGACTGAGAGATTGTAAATACTGCATTAAGAAACACTTCTTAATACCAAAATCTGAATCTGATGGCAAAATTTGTCCCTGTGATCTACCTTTTTATTCTTATCAACAGAAATCTAGTCATGTGGCAATTCATGATAATAGTTACATGAGTAAATCCTCTCCCTTTATGTTATTTACCCACAAGAACCTTCTCCAGACGAGGATGATAAAGATCTCATGCTGATATAATGGGAAACAAACTTTTTCACTTAAATACTTCTCATAAAACAATGGCCGGGTTGTCATTCTAAGAAATATCTAATGCTTTTTTTTAATATATTTTAAAGTTACATTTGCTTTAACAAAATATTTGGGAAGTAAATTATCCATTGAAGCTTTTGTAATTTATTGCATGCTTGCTAATTGTCGGTAATAATCCTTTTCAATTACTATCAAGAAGTAGGTCAGCCAATTTTTAGTGCTTATGAAACTTGCAATTTAGAGCTAGAAGGCATATCAGTAAGTTACATTTTAATATGGTGAGCAAATAGGCTTCTTAGCAACCCTCTTAACCCTAAAAATGATGCAGTGTAGCTTACATATCTAATTTAATACAAGGTTTTTGTACCCTGCTGGGGTTTGCTAATTATATTTACTGTCATTTTATGTATAAATATCTATATAATTAATTATGACTATTCAAATTAATTATCAAAGCTTTTTTTCCCCTTTAAGTTATAAACCAGAAGGAATTCTATGTAGATTGAAATTCTGTGGGATCCCATTTCTCTGTGGGAAAGAGATGTTTTTTTTCCTCTCTCTTTGTGTCTCTTTTATTTAGAATTGTTTTTGTCTAATGTGGTTTATGAATGTCAGAAACAATATGTTGCCAGCCCATTAGCTTTGCAATAGCACAGAAGGCCAGCATCTGAGCACTCCTGTGCCCCAGGTTCAGTGGAGTTCAGGTGTGTGGAAAAGGTGATGTTTCCAGCAAGACGGGGAGGGATGCTTTATTAACAGAGCCTGATCTAAAGTCTGAATCGGGTTCCTGTTACGCAACTTCATTTTCTTGGCTAGTACATACAGCAGCACTGGCACCACTCTTAAAAGATGTTGCTTACCTGCTCAGTACCTAAAGTGTTATTTGCTAACTAGATGGGTGAGAGAAATGAGGAGGGCAAAAGGTGTTTGTTGGAGGAGGTAAAAATGTAGTTTCCAGAATAAAAGAAGGAAAGCTAAATTCAGTGGGGAATTACATGCTTGAATACATATAGGAAGGGAAAATAGACGGAAGAGAATAAAGCAAACAGTCTGCCTGAATCAGCCTTTCTGCCCCAAACCAAATCTCAGCACAACCAAATGTACACAGACGTTTTGTGAGAGTGAATTTAGTACTCATGAAAGCAAGAGGCTAACAATACTGTCTTAAATAAATATAGACCAGTGTAGGCAGCTTCATACACAGTTCTAGCAACACACTCTATAATCCACATACAATCCCACTACATGATTACGATTAGTTGTGTTGAACCTTATTGCGATTGTGCAGCTTACAAAAATGGGCACTAATTGGGCCATCAAAGTCAATGCTCTTTGTAACTTTGGGTAGTATTTGAGCTGAGGTCTTTTCTTTCTTGATATTCTATACTATGACTATATACCAGTATACTACTACCATTCAGCGTAGTGTACAACCAGACCATATTCTTCTGTTTAGTCACAGAATACATAAAACATTTCCAACCACGCTGTTGTAGCAGGAGAGTTGAAAACAGCTATAAATCATTTGGAAAATAAGGTATATGGAAAGCTGGGAAAATTTCCAGATGACAAAGTTATTTAGTAGCAGAATTAGAGACAACTGAATGGAAACTTAGCTAGCACAATAGCAGAAAAAAATAATTGTTGATAAATATGATGATTTGGTTTAGAAGGAACAGATTTAACATACTGTTGGGTTCTAAATGAACTAGGCAACTCAACTAAGACATCTGATCAATGTATAAATAAAATTGGAGAGTAGATAAAATGTGGAAAACAAGGAAAATATTGTAATATTGCAATTACAGACTGTTGGTACATTTTGCATGAAAGTATTCATTTCTGGTCACATCATCTCAAAATATACACTAAAAAAAATCAAAAAAGGTCCAGAGATGGGTAACAAAAATGAATAAAGACCTGGAGAGACTTCCATATTAAGAGAGATTTAAAAGATTAGGGCTGTGTAGTTGAAAGAGAGATTAATAAGTGGAGACTTCTTAGAGATATATAAAATAATTAATAGTATAGAAGAGGTCAGTTGGGTACTCCTAGTCACCTTTCCCCATAATATAAGAACAAAGGGGCATCCATGAAATTGAAAAGAAATAAATTTAAAACTGATTAAAAAGAAATACTTTTTATATACAATGCATAATTAGCCTGTTGAACTCCCTGCAAAAAGCTATCATTATGCCCAAGAGCTTAGTAGGATTCTAAAAAAGGATTATGCACTTATTTAGATAATGAGAATGCCCAGGCATACCATAGGATGAAAATGGTTGGGGGTAGAAATTTTTTTTTTTAACTCTCATGCTTCAAGGCATAAGCCAAGTGTTATTTGCCTGGCTTTAGGAAGAAACTTTATATGAACAGATTATTTTGCAAAGGTCCATGATGAGTTTCCTTGGATATTTTACTGAATTGTTTCGCACTGGCCACTTACTAGTAAAGATATGGCACTGGACCACCGTTATGATTACCTAGCATGGGATCCTGTCTAGATTTTTCCTAAAACTGTAAGAACAGTTTGCCATAAATAAAGATGAACCACAACTACAGTGGCTAGAGATGTGTTAGATAATTTCATAGTAGCTAGGGTCTGGAGGGACCTGAACAGATCATCTAGCCTGACCCCCTGCCACAGGCAGGAATGAATGCTGGGTTCACAAGACCCCAGACAGGTGAACATCCACACTCCTCTTGAATTTGCCCAAGGTAGGGGCAAGGACCACTTTCCTGGGAAGTTGGTTCTAGATTTTGGCCACCCTAACTGTAAAAAATTGCCTTCTGATCTCTAAACTAAACCTATTCTCCAGCAGCTTATTACCATTGCTCCTTGTCACCCCAGGTGGTGCTGGAGAGACAAGGGCTCTACCTATTTACTGTTGATCTCCCCTGATGAGTTTGTAGGCAGCCACCAGGTCCCCCCTCAGCTGCCTCTTGCTGAGGCTGAACAGGTTCAGGTCCCTCAGTCTCTCCTCATAGGCTTCTCACCAAGTGAGTGGCCCTCCTCTGAACCCTCTCCAGGC